AGGCTCAGAGCATAGAAACACAGCTAGTAAGTGTTAAATTTGAACGCAGGTCTTCTGGACTTCATGATAAGGACTCTCCATTATACCACACCACCTCTCAAGAGCACTTCCAACTATAAAAACGTGCTGAGTCTGTGACAAAGGTCGTGTCCTCCAAAAATGGAACCCTCAGAGAAATAATGAAATTATGGAGGAAACTCAGGCAAAAGAAGGGTCTGGAGTTATCTGGGTTCAAGTATAGGTGTAATAGGGGATTGTCCAATGAGGGACCGGTCTTGGGAGCACCAAGAGACCCACATGGATGTGTGGTGAGCCTGCTTCTGGAAGTTTGTGATGCCGAAGCATGTATTTTACGTGAAGAGTTGTTGCATCATGAATTGAGAACTCTAATGGATGAGATGTATTCTGAGAGGTACGGGATTTAAAAAGGCCAGAAGTCAATGTATGGGAATCAGCATAGACAGAGAAAACAAACCAGACTGGAGGAGATGGGCAGAGAAGGAAAGGGTGCCACATAGAGTAACACTACCATGATAGATGGTGCAGTGGATAGAGCACCAGGTCTACAGTCAGGAAGACCTGAGTTCAAATCCAGCCTCAGACACTTACTAACCGCGTGACCCTGGGCGAGTCACTTAACCCTGTTTCCCTCAGTTTCCTCATCAGTAGAATGAGCTGCAGGAGGAAATGGCAAATCACACTAGTATCTTTGTCAAGAAAACTTCAAATGGGATCACAAAGAGTCAGACACGACTGAAATTACTGAACAACAATTGTTAAGAAGTTTTCCCTTATGTTAATCTTAAATTTGCCTCTTTGCAACCTGGTTCTGCTCTCTGGAGTAAACAGAACAAATATAATCCTCCCCTACATAACAGCCTTTCAAAAATGGAGCATATTCTAGGGGCAGCAAGGTGGTGCGGTGGACAGAGCACCAGCCCTGAAGTCAGGAGGATCTGAGTTCAAATCTGGCCTCAGAGACTTGACCCTTACTAACTGTGTGACCCTGGGCAAGTCACTTAACCCCAATTGCCTCATCACCCCCCAAAATAGAAATTGAACATATTCTAGCTATCACCTCTTTCGCCTGAGTTTTCTTTTAAAAAACAAACAAATAAAAAAAGCTGAAGCTCTCTACTTCCTTCAACTGATCCTCCTATTACACGGACTTGAGACCCTTCACCATGCTGATTGCTCTACTCTGACCACTCATGAATCCTCCTTAAATCATGGGGCTCAGAACAGAATGCAGTTCTCTGGATGTGGTCCCACCAGGGCAGAAGACAGGGAGACTAGCACTTCCTTACTCCTAGAAGGTGGGTCTCTCTTGGTGTAGCTAAAGATCATGTTAGTGAGTATTTCGGGTCACCACATCACACTGCTTACTCATATGGAGCTCGCAGTCTGCTCATATCCCCAATTTATTTTTGGACAAACCACTGTCTACACCTCCCCCAGCTTTCACTTTTGGTATTGGTATTTTTTATTTTAACCAAAATAGAAGACGACATTTATCCCAATAGAATTTCATTTTATCTACCTCAGTGTTCTGGGCCTGTTAAGATCACTTTGGATCCTTTCTGTCCTCCTGTGTATTAGCCAACCTTCCCAGCTTTGTGCTATTTGCAAATCTAATGAGGTATCAGATCTATGGCATCCATCTCTATGCCTTTAACAAAGGCACTGAGAAAGATGTTACACAGCACAGGGCACTTTGCATCCCTGAGAACCTCTCCTGAAGAGCTTGTGCCCCGTTGACATTGCACCATGAATGACTAATCTTTGAGTTTTGCCATTTAGCCAGTAACAAATCCACCTAATGTATTATCATTTCTTCATCTTGTTCTATATTTTCTAATGATGATGATAATGATGATGATAAGAGCTAGTATTTATATAGTGTCTAATATGTGCCAGACACTTTTAAATTATTATCTTGTTTGATCCTCACAACAAACTTGGGAGGTACGTGCTATTATTATCCCCATTTTACCTCTAAGGCCAGATTTGAGCTCAGGTCTTCCTGATTCCAAGCCCAGAACTCTATACACTGTGCTACATGGCTACCCCTACTATCCTTTTTGTTGTTGTTATCCAATTGTTTCAGTCATGTCCAAGTGTCCGTGACCCCATTTTGGGGTTTTCTTGGCAGAGATACTGGAGTGCTTTACCATTTCCTTCTCCAGCTCATTTTACAGATGAGGAAACTGAGGCAAACAGGATTAAGTGACTTGCCCAGGGTCACGCAGCTAGTAAGTGCCTGAGGCTGGATTTGAATTTTAGTACAAGGATAATGTGAGATACTTTGACAAATACTTTGCTGAAATCCTGGTAAACTGTATCTGAAGCATTCTCTTGATTTGAGTGTTTAGTAAACTTGTCAAAAAAAAAAAAAGGAAATGAGGTTAGTCTGGTGGTTTCTTGTAATCACTGCTTCCTTTTTTAGCTGTTTGTTAATTTTTAGTGATCTTTCTAAAATATTCTTAGGAATCAGAGTCAAACTCACTGGCCTACAGTTGGCCAACTCTGTTCTGTCTCCTTTTTTGAAAATTGGGACATTTGTCCTTCCCAGTCCTGTGTTACTGCTCGTTTTCTATGATCTTTCAGATATTAATATCACAAAGGCTAGTTCTTTCAGTGCCCTAGGTAATAGTTCATCTCAGTCACAACACTTGAATTCATCAAGGGTAATAAGAGGTCTCTTCCTTCTGGAGGGCGGTGTGCTTCTCCCAGAACACAGCTTCATCATCTCTGCTTTAGGGTTTCCAGTATTTTAATTATTGAGGGCACAAGGTATTTTCCTCTTGCCTCCTTTCTAAATTTATGTCTTGGGGTGGGGGAGGTCTTGATGGTTGAAGGCACTAAGAAGGGAGGGAGATCTACCTCCCCAACCAGGCTGATCTCAAAGGCGTATTACATACTACACAGCTAGATGGCTTGTAAATAGAGCCCTGGACTTGGAGTCAGGAAGACTTGAGTTTGAATCTCAGGCACTTCACTGTGTGACCTAGAGCAAGTCACTTAACCTCTGTCTGGCTCCATTTCCTCACCTCTAAAATGGGGTCAATAATAGCACCTACACTAAAGGGAATTGTCAGGATGAAATGAAATAAAATGTGTAAAGTGCTTTGCAAACCTTATATAAGACTATATAAATGTTGGCTATTATTAATCTAATGGGACTCTTCATGCTTACATATGTTCTAGATCACTGTTATCTTTAACTCTATTAGGATGAGACCCAGACTCCTCACAAAATGAATCACACAAGCAAACAAAAAAAGTGTGTGTTCTAACTCAAACATGATTTTTTTAAAATTAAAATCTCCTTTACAGAGACATGTTCTTTGCAGGACATATATGCGTTTAGAACCTAGAACTATCATTTAGCTGCCAATTTGGCAGCCAGGTGGCACAGTGGATAGAGTGCTGAGCCTGAATTTCTGAGTTCAGATCTGGCCTCAGACACTTCTCGTGACCCTGGGCAAGACCCTGTTTACCTCAGTTTCCTCATCTGTAAAATAAACTGGAGAAGAAAAAGGCAAACCATTCCAGTATCTCTGCCAAGAAAACCCCAAATGAGGTCACATGGAGTCAGACACAACTGAAATTACCGAACAACATATATATGTATTCATATAGATAGATAGATCCCCCAGGAAGGTTTTCTTGATCCCTCCAGATACTAGGACTAATCACACCTTAATTTTCTATGTATTGTATTTCATTGCATACATGTACAGGAGCATGTAAGCTCCTTGAGGTTAACGGCTATTTCTTATTTGCCTTGGCATCCCTAGAACCTAATATGGTACTTTATACTTTAGGGGTTGAGAAAGAGGATTGAGGACATGTTCACACCTACAATTTTGCTGATGTAGGGCACTTTTGGTGAAGAACCCTTTCCACAGATGCAGAGGCTACAGCTACTTTTTATTTTTTATTTTTTATTTTCATTTCTTACAGCTACTCTTCAGCAAAGAGCAGATAGATGATGCAGTGGATGGAGTGCTGGGCGTAGAGTCAGGAAGACCTGAGTTCAAATCTGACCTCAGACACTAGCTGTGTGACCCTGGGCAAGTCATTTAACCTCAATTTGCCTCAGTTTCCTCAACTATAAAACGGGGAATAATAACAGCACCTACCTTATGGGGTTATTGTGAGAATCAAATGTGATAACATTTGTAAAGTGCTTAGGACGGTGTCTAGCATGTACAAGGTGCTATATAAATGCTTATTCCCTTCTTTTGCCCTCTCTTGCTTATAGCTTTGGGGGGTTATCTCAGGCACTTAGTTAAGTGACTTGCCCATGGTCCCAAAGGCAGTATGTGTCAAAGGTAAGACTTGAACTCATATCATCCTGACTCTAAATCAGGCTCTCTTGCCACTAAGCCGTGTTGACTCACTCCATAGTATGCAGTAGGCACTTAATAACTATTTATCAAGTTGTCAAATGAAATCATTGTGCAAGTTACTGATAGGGATGCAACTACAAATCAGATGTGTTCCCTGTCCTCAAGAAGCTCATTTTCCTCATGAGTGGAAAAGAGATTAGATTTGTTCTAACTGGTCTTAGAAGAGAGAACTGGGAACAATAGGTAGAAGTTTCCTGGAGTCACAAAAATCTGAGTTCAAGCCCCACCTCCGCTACTGACATTTTTTCTGTTAACGATCAGATTTTCGTCAACTAAACCTTTCTTATTTGCAGGTAGCCCTCATGGTTGCAAATGAATTTTGGGAACAAGGAGACCTGGAGAGAACAATATTGCAACAACAACCAATTGTAAGGGGTTTGATGTGTTAATTAACGTTAATATCCTATAAAAACCTGAACTCACTATGAAAGCCTGCACTCATATGCTGCCCTGATGCCTCATCACTGTACGGGGAGAGCCGGGGCCCTCCAGAACTGTGCCAGCAGAGCATAGTCTGTGCTAGATCCTAGCAAGCAGGAGGGTGAGAACCAGTGTGGGGATGGACGGTACATCTGTCCTTTGAGGACCAGCACAGCCAGCTGCAGCCAGGCACATCCCCAGGTTGGTCGCATCATCAGAGGGCGATGAGCTTTTTAACCACAGCAGCTCTTGCCAAGGGACAGAGCGGGTGGGATCTTCACTGGTGGAAACGGGAACCCCGCAATGAATCACAGATAGTTCAAATATTACAGCATCACGTCCTTCCAAAAACAACCATAATAAGACAGTCTCGTTGATGATGAAAAGTTAGAAATAGCGACTAAGGGAATTTCTTCCTTTCTAGCCCATGATGGACAGAGAAAAAGGAGATGAATTGCCCAAGCTCCAAGTTGGCTTCATCGATTTCGTGTGTACTTTTGTATACAAGGTGAGAAGGCTCGATTTGATTCTTTTATTGGGGTTATCATTGTTGGGAAGGTGATTTCTTCATGGAGGCTTCAGCTAAAATGAAGAGAGAGATCCTTCAAAGGTAAGCACTACTTAAGCACAGAATGCATTAGGCTATTTTGAAGCTTGTCTTATTTTTAAGAGAGCTTCTAAGATCCTTCAGAAGCAGCTGGCGGCACAGTGGATAGAGCGCTGGACCTGGATTCAGGAATACCTGAGTTCAAATCCAGCCTCAGATATTTACTCTCTATGTGACCCTGGGCAAGTCACTTAGCCTCTGTTTGCCTCAATTTCCTCATCTGTAAAATGGAGGTAATAATAGCACCTACTCCCCAGGGTTGTTGTGAGGATAATAGTATTTGTAAATCACTTTACAAACTTTAAATACTATATAATGCTAGTAATTAATCCTAGCTATTGCATCCCAATCCCTTACTGGGGGAGGGTAGACAGAGACAATATTTCATCTGCTGACAGTTTTTCTGCTGTTGTTAAGTTGTTTCTGTCATGTTCCACTCTTTGTAGCCCCATTTGGGGTTTTCTTGGCAAAGATACTAGAGTGGTTTGCCATTTCCTTCTCCAACTCATTTTACAGAGGAGGAAACTGAGGCAAACTGGGTGAAGTGACTTGCCCAGGGTCACCTAGCTAGTCTGAGACCAGGTTTGAACTCAGGGAGATTAGTCTTCCTGACTCCAGACCCAGAGCTTCAATCACTGCATCATCTAGCGGCTCAGCTGTCAGTCTGATTAGCCTCCTTCTGTCAGGTCTAAACAACAAAGAACAGCTTACATTTACACGGGCTGTCCCAAAAGTTGTAGGGCAGGTTGAAACTACAGTAGGATTTAGGCTGCACTAAAATTTTCGGCATGCCCTGTTTTACATGCATTAACTCATCTCATCATCACAACAACCACCAAGGAAGATAGATAGTGCAAGTATTTATATCCTCTCCTTACAGATAAGGAAACTGAGGCTCAGAGAGTATAAGAGGCTATTCAGAGTCACCAAGATGTAAAGAGGCAGTTTGGAATCTGAACCTATTTCTTGGTCATTCCATAGATCATCCAACCTTTCTATAGCAAAGCAAAATTTGTTGTGCTTTTGTTCCTGGGCTTCTAGGTCAGCCCTGAGCTCTGGCTTATTAACTCCCAAGTGACACCTGTCATTATTCTTTTTTTTTTTTTGGCTTTTTTTTTGGTGAGGCAATCAGGGTTAAGTGACTTGCCCAGGGTCACACAGCTAGTAAGTGTCATGTGTCTGACTCAGGTCCTCCCGACTCTAAGGCCAGAGCTCTATCCACTGCGTCACCTAGCTGCCCCAACCTGTCATTATTCTAAAGCAAAACAAAAGCTTCAGGTTTGAATTGTACAATTTCCCACTGATGATCATTTCTTTAGGAATTCTCCCGGTTTCACAAAGAAATTACACCGATGTGGGATGGTCTTCAAAACAACAGAGTGGAGTGGAAATCCCGAGCTGATGAATATGATGAAAAAATGAAGGTGATAGAAGAGGAGAAGAAAAAGCAAGAAGCCAATACAGCCCCAAAAGGTGAGATTTTTTAAAAAAAAATTTCACATGAAACATCTCTTTTCTAATCACCAGGATAAACAGGGTGTCCCAAAAGTTTTGGTGTCATTTTAAGCTTAAAAAAGAAGCTTTAAGTAAATAAAGCTTAATACTACACCAAGACTTTTGGAATACCCTGTATTATACAAATAGGACTTGGTTTTTGGTATGCTCAATTATTCTGAGTTTTACTCTGGACAAGGAA